CATAAAAAAAAAAAAAAATCGCACCTACCGCAAATTCTGGTGTGGGAGTTGTGTTGCATTGCCATTCATTTGAACGGCACCCCAAACGCATCTCCTGTACACAGTTTGATTGCCCGCATCGGAACGTGCGGTACCTCAATGCCGTGCGTTCCAATACGGTGCGACTTGGGTCGCGACTTCATGACCAAGGACAAATGTGGGTCCTGAGGTTACACAGGTTGAGAACCACTGGTTTAAAGGATTACAACCCTGGCTGCTGCATTGTATGTTAATGAGAAAAACATATTACACACAGTTCTGCCCTTAGTTTTTCTATAAGGAAGGATCACTGAGAAGGTGCTCAGAAAAACCTGGTATCAGCCATGATGCCTGCTGCAACAAAACACCTAAAAATTAAGAAATATTTATTAACAATGATTTTTCTTCATGCTGTGTGATTTGGAACAAACAGATGGGTTTTTTTTTTCAAATCGGACTACAAAAGTGATAAACTGGATTATCCAGGAAGATAATTGATTGATTGTTAAACAAACCTAACCCTCAAGGAAAGAAAAAAATTTGCCACCTAATTTTTTGCAGCACTACCTATAGCACGTATGCTATAATTCTGTCAGTCATGCTTCCAGCCATTGGGGGGTAAGCCCCCCTTTTCATCCATGCCCTTACCCTTCTTACCTCTTCTTCCTCGCTCTCTTAACCCCAAGTTAAAAAGGAGTATGACAGGGTTTGATCGTACATGGGTGTTTAAAGCTGCCTATGACCCCAGAAGCAAGATCTCCCCTACTTCTACTAATACAGATTTAACTTTTTTTAACCCCTTCATGACTGAGGCCCTTTTTTCATTTTTTGCACCCATGTTATATTCCACATTTATTTATTATTATCTTACGTCGTCAGTCACGAAGGGGTTAATTAAAGTTGCTAATGCCACTGCCCAAACCTGACACGTGAATGCCGAATCATGCATCCTTTAGTGTAATATAGGTAGAGCACACATCACAGTGACACAAGTAGCTCAGCTGTAAAGCCATGTTTAGCCCATCACTGGCATGCCAGTGGTGCTGCTCTCTTCCACGGTCCCAGACAGGAATTAACCATGAAATCTGTTTTGCAAACAATTGTTCTTTATGCATTTTTTAAAATTTACTTGACAATTTATTGGGTAAAATTAAGAATCTTCTGGACTCTACTTATTAAACCAGTCATCAGGGAATATGCAAGGGATGAACAATATTTCAAAAAACTACAAAAAGATGTACTCACTTAAGAATTCCTTTGGTTTCCATTTTTCTTTAATAAATATAATGCCTATGATTGAGCTAGCTAAAAACAAAACAAAAACGTAAGCACATTTCCTTTTAAAACAGTTAGCAACAAATACAAAAAAAAATTCTACTTTATACAATCATTATTTTATAGCATTCGGCAAACTGAAAATATATTTTTACTCGTGCCATTGCTGCTGTGTTATTATATTCAATGTAATACATAGTAATAGGGTGACATTATCACAGCTGCAGATTTCATAGAAAAGTTTAGGTTACATAAATCATGAAGAGAAAATACAGCATAGCACTGCAGGATAAAAGAATGAAGAACAATATGCAAATGTTGACTCATTATTTGCATAGATTCCCAGAATTTACATTTCACATACTGCAGTGTACAAGACAATGAAATGCATTACCTTCCATGGGAATAATTATATATATATATATATATATATATAATTTATGGTATAAAAACTATGGATGTTCAGATACCAGTGCCAATACTTGGCATTTTCACAAGAACTACCAGGGTTGCAGCGGTTGCAGTTGGGACCTGGCTCTGGCGCTCCACCACTGTCCTGAAATCATTAGTCTGTATTGTTTTAGAAAAAACTGTCACATGACAATAAACAAAAATGTATCAGTACTTTTATCTGTGAGTAGTTGACTTGGGCAAGTATCAGTACTCGTACTTGCAAAACTGGTATCAGTGCATCACTTTATATGTTTATAAAAACAAAATCATACATTAAAAAACAGAGATGTACAAATCCCAGGAGCTCCGTGTGCTCCTGACAAATTACAGCTGCCTCCTAACTTTTGAATTGTTCTCTAGCCTAGGAGCTCGAAAAGTACCGTATCTGTACTTGTACCGAGTACGGTACTTGGTATCGGTGCATCCCTAGTAAAAACTATTTCAGACTTCAATGGCTATTAACAATTTGAGCAGGTCAAGGCAGATGGGTTATAACCAACCACTGCCCCGCCATTTCTATATGCAAATTGTATGATCTTTTCTGCCAGTTTCAATTTAATTCTATAATAGAATTTAAAGCAAGCAGCTAAATACACATTTAGAGAGTTTGTTTGACTTGCCAAAAAAATTTGTACTCCTGTGGAGCCAGTTATTGGATCTAGATACTGCTGCCAGGCAGCATAGCTAGGTCCTCGACTTCCATTATCACAATACTACATGGGCAAGAACAACTCCCCAGCCTGCTAACCAGACAATAAAGTAGCAGCCAAAAACTGATAATACAGCGGCCTTCTCCACTTGTGAGCACATGTGCACAAAAGCCAGGCTGGCTTTTAGTACTCCTATCCTGAGCGGTGATGTATAGAGGATTAGTGGATACTCCGATTAAGACAAAATGAAGGTGCTTGCACCAGTTGCATTTTAAAATACATTTTTTTTTTCCATTAAAAACACAGAAAGGCATTGCTTTTCCCCAGCTTTAGGTTACATTCACCGACGATAAATGTGCATTTTGGGAACCCTGTGGCAGGAACCCGCGGATTTCCTCGGCAGGAATCCAAAATATGCTGTTTAGAAGCGACCATTGTCACCCATTCAAGTTAGTGATTGGGTGACAGCGGCCATTTGAAAAGTCTGTCTGTACTCAGCATGTAATTGTAGGTTATATGATTATATGCGGTTAGGAATAGAACACTATAGCATACTTTAAGTAAAATGTACATTTTCATTTCAATAGCTTTTTAAAGATGTTATATTAAACTTCTTTAAGAGAAGAAACCTGCATTTTTTACGTAGGGAAATAAATAGTTTAATACTCACCTATGAGAGAAACAGCACTGAGAGGCACAATTAGAGACAGTGGAGCAAAGGCATAGGAAGAAAACACCCCGGTCTCCCCTAGTACCACTAAGAAGAGACCAAACCACCACGTCTTTGTCTTGAAGTAGGTGCGAGGGTCTTTGGAACTAGCCAAACGTATATGGCTGTATTTCTGTTCATTGAAAAATATGGTCATTAGCAATTGTCATCCTCATAATCTAAGTAGGCTTATAAAATGTCAAAGTAATGCACCCTCTTGTGTCAATGGCAGTAATATTTATATAGATGCAAACTAGGGGCTATTGCAGGCATATGGTCCAGTGCAAGGTGAAATAATTATACCAAACAGGTGTGAATAATCAAGATATGTAATGCAGGGTACATTATAATTATTAAATCAAAAAGTATCAGCCTTGAAGGAGGAAAAACTTAGTGATGAAAATCCATGCTCTATAACAAGTTAAGGTCACTGAAGACAGTTAAATGTTACTTTTTTTTTTTTAAACAATGGCCAGACTCAACACAGCAACAAGACAAAAGGGCCATCTAGCGGCATTAACAATGTCTTTTGCAGGCAGAAATGTCAAGGAAGACAGGTGTTTCTAGATATGCTGTCCGAAGAAGTACAGAGAAACAGGCAATGTTTAGGACAGAAAAATGCAGTGGTCAGTCAAGGAAACTTAGCAGATGAAGGACAAATCAAGTTGACTTCCCTTCACAATGGGAAGACGTCCAGTGCCACCATTAGTTCAGACTTGCCAGAAAGCAGTACACCCATCTACAGTCCAGAGATCTCTGGCCAGAAGTGGTCTTCCTGACAGATATGCGCCTACAAAGCCATACCTCTGACATACAAACAAAGCCAAGTGACTTGCCTATGTAAGAAAACAATGACAACTGATCTGCAGAAAATGGCAGCAGGTGCTTTGGACTGATGAGTCCAAATGTGAAACATTTGTATGTAACCAAAAGGCAGTTTGTTTACTGAAGACCTGGAGAGCAAAAAAAAAAGATGTGTCTGCAAGCAAGAGTGAAGCATGGTGGAGGTTCTTTGCAGATGGGGCTGCATTTCTGCACATGAAGTTAGGCATTTGATGAAAGGTCTTTTTAATTCTTAAAAGTACAGGCAGATACTTGTCCATCATTCAATACAATAATGGAGGTGCTGATCAGCCCCAAATTTATTCTGCAGCAGGACAATGATACCAAAACATACAGTGCTAGCTCTAAAGCAGTGGTTCTCAACCTGTGGGTCGGGACCCCCTCGGGGGTCGAATAACGATTTGCCAGGGGTCGCCTAGTGGCTCTCGGCCGACGGGAGAGAAACACTTTCTCCCGGAAAGGTCGGGACCTTTCTCTGTTCTGTTTTTTTTTTGAAAATCGGGGGCCGCCGGAAGTCAGAAAAAAAAAAC